CTTGCCTCAGACTCCTTTTCTCCAGCCTAAACAACCCCAGCTCCCTTAGCCGCTCCTCATAATTCCTGTGCTCTAAACCCTTCAACGAGCTTTGTTGCCCTTCTCTGGACACGCTCCAGCATCTCTGGTCCAGAGAATTCCACCAAAGCCCCTGAGCGGTATCAAGGGTGATGGGAGATACCACTGCAAGTGCAAAGCCTTGAACCCCTACAGAGACCTCAGCAAAGGGGATTTTTTTCCAATTAAATCTTTCCCAGAAGAGGATTTAAGGTGTTCAGACTCTCCACACAGCATCACTTGGGCCACAATGTCTGAGCCCAGTGTCAGTTGGTGCCTCAGGCTGGGTCCAGAAACACTTTTCTGGGGAAATTGCTCTCATGAGAGCAGTCAAGATACCTCGACTACCTGGGGGCAGCAGTGCTGGCAGCACTGACAAGTGACCATGGGAACAAAGACACAGTGCCAGGACCCATGGGGACACCGCAGATCCCCACTGACCTCTTTTCTGCCATCCTCCTGGAGCAGTTGGCTGGGTTATCCTTCCTGCTTCAACATGGTGCCCCAAAGAGGGAACCACCAAGAAAGAACCACCAAGTAGGACAAATTTGCTTTCCCACTACTATATTTGCTAACAGGGATACCTGGGAATAGGGTCTCATACGTGACATGGAGATGTGCCCCATCTCAGAACCACAAAGGCACAGGCTCAATGAGCATCTTGTGAGTGGCTTGGTTTGACATCCATGTGTTGGAGTGAGAGGAGGAGGCAGGGCTGAACAGAGCCCTATCACCTGATGGATGAACATGGTGCAGGGGGAAATAATCCCAGCAATTTTTGCCCAACCCTTTTTCTTTGTTAAGGTCAAAATATATGACCTTCCTCCTAAAAAATGTTGCCTACAAGCGCCCACCAGCTGCTCCATGATGCCAGCCCAGCCTCTCGACTGGTAGGGCCCAGACATTTGACTGACACCCTAGGAAACACCAACTGAAAGTTACCAAGGCCTGTTTGTTGTAGAGAAAAAGAAAACATTTGGTTTTATTTATAAGCAACACTTCTGGCTGCATTTCTCTTTATTACCTTCTGGAAGAATCACAACATTTAACTAGCAAGGTTTTCAAAAACATTGACAATCCCCTATTTTGTAGCTGAAGAACTGAAGCGCAAAAGTGGGTCAAGCAATGTTCAGGCTGGGAAGTATTTCATTACAGAGTCTCAGAGCCTGCCTTTTTTCACTATTCACATTGGTATTCAGCACAGGCTCCTGCTGACCTCAGCTGCAGCTGCACATTAACTGTTTCTACACAGCAAATCACAAGGGATCCCCATTTCCGGGGCTTTTTGAAAGAAATATCTAGGAAGAGTTCATTGATGTAATTTGGCTACAGTATGTAGGAAGTACATGGGATAGGTGGCCAAAACCCCACTCCTCAGTGTGGTTCACCATGACTTTGTTTGTACTCCTCTGTCCTTATTTGCTACCAAACTGTTGGTCTTTGCAACACATGGAGCAGCATTGCTGGTGCTTATCATCACCTAATAAATGCCCTGAGCACCGAACAAGGCAGGAAAAGGATAATGAGGCCTTTAATCCAAATACATGCTATAAAGAGAATGAGACCTTTAATCCAAATACATGCTATAAAGAGAGTTTCTGCTTCCTGTCGTTTATTGGTATCATAAAAGATTTATTTAGAGTAAATTCCAATTTCTGTATCATTGTTCAAAATTAAAAGTTTCTCAAAGCATTTTTATATCTCAAGACAAGCTGGGGAGCAGAGGCTCAGCCATGCAGTCGAGCTGCAGTGGAGCAGGATAAAGTTAGCACAAATCACCTGCTGCTGTCCCCACGTTGACATAATTATTTGGTTTTTTGATTTATTTATCAGTATCAGAGATGCTTTGTCCAGTGTTTGTCAAATAATGATGGAAACAAGCAACAGTGATGCTTATATAAATCAGAGTTGCTCAGTCTTTACTTCACTGTTGAGCTCCTACTTGTCTGCTCACCATCATGGGATTTTAATGTAGTTTGTGCAACTGGTTTTCCATACAATAGGTGAAAATAAAGCACCAATACCCACCTCCAGGCTGGCAGCAGAGCTGGTACATGCAAGTCCCCTCCAGATACAGCCCTCCAGCTAATGATCTCTTTTCTGTCTTCCCATCCCTTGCTGCTACCAAACTTTTCCCTTGTTTTACTCCTTTCCGTGCTGTTGAACCAGGTATCTGACACTTAGCAACAAGAAACAAATTCACCTAAAACCTGCATCCCCACACTGCAGTCAATTTACCCAATTTATTGCACCTGATAACCATGGAGAGACCCCAGTCAGGTCCATTTCTGGGCAGGCAACAAAAACACCTGGGAAGGGCTTGGTACCTTCCTGATAAATTTGGCCAATGTTGGTAGGTCCCCTTTCCCCCCTCTCATTATTTCTAGGGAGGAATCGCTTTGCTGCGCTGAAGATATCACTCTAGAGATGCTGTAAGTCTGCACCTCGGCCTTGGGAAGAGGTGAGGGTCCCCTTCAGCCCCTCCAGAGCATCGCTTTGGGAGCTGCCGCTCTCCCCCCCCGCGGGGTTGCCGAGGACCCCGGGACGGAGCTGCGGCCGCTGCGTTTGTACTGAATATGAAACGCGAAGGCAAAAATACCCTCGCAGACGCAAACTCCCGGCAAAAGGGGCACTCACTCCCGGCAGCTCGGGTCCAGGGGGGTGAGGGTCCCCTTCAGCCCCTCCAGAGCATCGCTTTGGGAGCTGCCGCTCTCCCCCCCCGCGGGGTTGCCGAGGACCCCGGGACGGAGCTGCGGCCGCTGCGTTTGTACTGAATATGAAACGCGAAGGCAAAAATACCCTCGCAGACGCAAACTCCCGGCAAAAGGGGCACTCACTCCCGGCAGCTCGGGTCCAGGGGGGGGGTGCCGGGCCGATGGCAGCACCCCTGAGTGCAGGGTGCCACTGGTGCCATGCTCGGTTGGTGTCACTGACGTGAAACCTTGCAGTTGCAGAGGATCTCACGTTGTCTGCCTGGTGTGAAATCCTCCAAAGACTATCTGTGCTTTGGACGAAGAACAAGCTATGCTGCCCTTAAAACCACTGGGCTATTTGGGAGTGCCTTGGCTGTGTCCCAGGTGACCCTCCTGTTCCAAACCTTCACACCCAGGCATGGTGCCAGCTTACTCGGAGTTGGGTCTGAACAGAGCTGGACTCAGTGATTGTGGCTGGGGGGGGTCGCGCGGGGGGGGATTGGGGCGGGATGAGCTCGCGTGGATTGCAGCGACACGGCTCTGGCCAGTTCTGCGACATGTTACCATCTCCGCAGAATCTTGGGGTTCATTAACTGGTGGCCTGTGGAGCTGTGGGATCCCCTGCAAAGTCTGGAGGTTCATTAGTTGGTGGTGTGTGGAGCTCTGAGATCCTCCTCCTGCTGTCTACTTGACTAACGTGGGAGAGATACACATGTGGTGCTTCAGCAGATCACTACAAGCACAGCGTTGTTGTACTTCCAGCTTTCCTTAGGTCCAGCTTTGCTTTTCTTCTGCTTACTGTGACCCACAGAAATACCAGTGGGGAGACACTTGCTATGTGATAGATCTGGCTCCACCTGCTTTGTTTCCTGCATCTTCTTGCTGCTTGGCTGTGCGCAGGGGTCACACCTTAGGAAGTCCTTGAGATGCTCTTCATGTGCTTGCTGCCAATATTATTCTGGCTCAGGAAGAATCACAGTGCAGTAAGAATCCACCCTGTCACCAGCCCAGGGGTGCCCTGCTCCTGCTCCTGCTGGTGCCCAAGCTCAGTGGGTCAAAGCCAGCTCAGGTTCCTTATTTTTGCCCTGTTCTTCCCTGCACAGCTTGGTGGGCTCAGGTGGTGATGAGATCAGAGGACTTGGTACAGGGCTGGAGCCAGCTTCCCCCCAGGATGGTCCACATGCATTGCTCTCAACCAGGGGATGCTTCTCCAAGCCTTCTCCAGCTGTGGTAGGGGCCTTTGTGCCTGGAGCATGTGTTGGAGTGGGTGAGGCTGGACACATGCTGGGATGGTGCGAGGATGTAGAGGCCAGCAGCTGGGCAAAACAGGGGAGGAGAAATACCTGTTGGCCATCACAAACCATTTAGAAGGATTTTCCATAATTTTCTGGGCCTAGGGGTAATGTGGGAACATGGAGTCTGATGGGGAAGCTCAGAGGTAACTGAAGGTGGACCACAGCCAGTGCCAGCAGCTCACCTGCTTCATGTGGGTAGGACAGGTCCCCTCACAAGAAGCCACCAGTTTTCATTATTCCTGAAGCATTCTGTGTGGGCTGGTTTGCAAGAGGTTTTTAGTTCTAAAAGCACTCATTCTGAGCACATTAAATGTGATGGTTTGGTTTCTGTTGTCTCAAGACCTGCTGGTGTTGAAGAAGGCTTAGAGCAAAGAGCTGCAAAGAACCATAAAGTTGAGCATTTCATTTTGGAAATCCTCTGTGTTTGGTGAAAATAATCAACAAAAATGTGAAAAGTGGTTAATTTCACTTGAGTGCTGAGATGTAGTGTTCAGAGCAGAGCGGATCCTGGGATTGGGCTGTTTGGATCCAGATGTGACTTCCCCAAACGTCAAGTCTGATGTTGGCTCTCACAGCTATTCCTCTTCCATCCCACTTCCAGCAGCCTCTGGGAGACACTTCTGGCCATATCCCTGCCCAGTCTGCATCATTACCAGGGTGAGCTGGTCCTTAATTGTTTGGGGTCATCCTTTGCTGTGGCTCTGGCTGGGTTGTGCATGTAGGCCCATCAGTCTCTGGGAGAGTGGCAATAGTATCTTATGGTTGTGGCCGTGTCATGCTCTGAGCACGTACATGTTGCTTTGTGGAGCCTAGAAGAAGCCCAAGTGCCTAGGCAGGTCCCCAGTCCAGCCATTCTACAAGTGCTGAGTAATATCTGGAAGATATTTCCCTCAGGGTGAGGATGCTTGGCATCACTTCTGCCTTGTGCTGATTGTTTCCATGTCTCTTTTTGTAGGAGCTGAGAGATCTGGCATCCAAGCACCCAAACCTGGTTCTTGTGAAGCTGGGTAGGTGTGCTCTGCTGCTAAGGTGGTAAACTTTTTGCTGCTGGCCCTGCTTGCCCTGTTTCTTCTTCCCTCCATCCCTGCCTTCAGGCTCTACATGGGGCTCCAGTTCTTCAGAGCTGCTTCAAGTCCTACTGCCAAAAGCCCAGCTTCTCCAGACCTGTCTCAGCCCCAGTACCCCATGGCCACAGGACCAGGAGGCTTTTGTGACCCATCCTGGCAGGCTTCAGCTCCCCCAGCCAAGTGGCCGTGTCCTTGCTGTGCCACGCAGCTGAACTGTTTTGATCCCAAGTCCCAGGCAAGTCAGCAGTCAGCCCAGAGCATGGGCAAGAGCTGTAGGACCTTGCAGAGCCATCCCACAGCAGGTCAAGCACAGCCCCTGTGGGGGCCAAACCCCCTGGAATTGCCCTGGGTTCAGAGGTTTCTCAGGGATGGACTTTGTCCACTGACAGGAGGCCATGACTGCTGCTGAGACACAGCACGGGAGTCACAGCAGCACTTTGCAACCACGGGGCAGAACCGGGGGAAGGGTCCTCCAGGTTCTGGTAGTGAGGCCCCCTGTGCATGGTGAAGGAGGCAGATTTGGGATGAGTTGAGGCCTGTGGGTGCCGGGGTGCTCTGAGCTGGTTGCACAGCACCATCTGGTGCTCACAGACGGAAGGCCATGCAGGTCGGGATGCAGAGCTGCTCCTCAGCACTTTAACCTCCCTCTTCTCCCCACGTCCCCATGACTCTCACACCCTGTTTTCTTCCACTGCAGATGTGGCAAATCCCTCAGCTATTACTGATGCAGCCAAGATCGTGGAGGGGAAGCTGAACGGCACAGGCTTGAACCTGCTCATAAACAATGCTGGCATTTACATCCCGACATCGTCACTGGAGACAGCAGACGCTGAAGAGATGATAAGGACTTACAAGACCAATGCAGTGGGGCCTATGCTGATGGCCCAGGTATGGATGAAGCTCTGGGGATGGAGCTGGCCATGGTGGCTTCCTGCTGTTCCTCCTCATGCTCCCTGTTGTAGGCAGGCTGGGTTGCGGTTGCCACAAGTGGGGCTGGTTTGTGGCAGAAGCATCTCACAGGGTTGCTTCTCCCCAGGCCTTCCTGCCCCTGTTGAAGAAAGCTGCCCGGGAGAGCACAGAAAAGGGACTGAGCTGCAGCAGGGCAGCCATCATCAACATCTCCACTGTCATGGGGTCCATCGAGAGAACTCAAGAGTCCTTCTTCAAGCCTGTCGTCTCCTACCGCTGCAGCAAGGTATGTGCACTGGGGACCTGCCCGCGCTCATGGGGTCAGAGGGAGTCAGAGCTGTCCCTTGCCAGGGCAGCACCTGAGATTGAGATGGAGGGACTTTGTGCTGATCGCTGCCCGAGGTCCCTGAGCATCTCCATGCCCAGCTGCTGCCCACCTTGGGGACTCATGCACTATCTCTTGAGGACCTGGCATTGCTTTTCCTCCCTTGCCATGAGGCAGTGGTGGGAGGGGAGTCTGGTGCATGGAGCTTTCTACTGCCCATGGTTGATGCCTTCTTCCTCCCGCAGGCTGCCCTCAACATGCTGACCAAGTGCCAGGCTCTGACCTATGGTGAAGATGGGATCCTCTGCGTGGCCCTTCACCCTGGCTGGGTGAAAACCGACATGGGCAGCCAGGAGGTGGGTTCCAGCTGAGTGGGTCGAGGAGGGGACCCATGGGTAGGACCCAAGCCTTGCAAACTTGCAGTGGCATGGGAGGTGCCTTAGGTTGCCAGGATGGCTCTCAGGAGGAGGGATACATGCAAGAATGAGTTACCTCTCAGGCTGCAGGTTGTCTGTGTCTGCGCTGGGCCACTGCAGAACATGTGGGTGCTGCCTGGGGAATGGCATCAGCAGATATCCAGGGTGAGCAGGAGGCCTGTTCACGGGGAGAAAGGCTTTGGGCAGCCTGGAGATGTGCAGAGAACCTGAATCTGACAGAGCAGGGAGGAGAGGCACAGCCCCATCCCACTCTGCACCTCCTTCCTCAAAGAGCTGCAGGCCCAGGAGGTCTCCCCTCATCCTGCAGGATCTCTGTTTTGGGGTGGGGCTGGTCCCTGCAACCCTGGAGTTTTGAGAAGGCTGCACATAGCACCCTGCTTGCAGCAGGGAACCAAGCCATCAGTGAGCATGCAGATACCCAACCATCCTCCCAGGACACCCATCCCATCTCCCATGGCTCTCTGCTTGGTCTGGGTGGAAGGAGCCTTCCTGACGATGTGTGCAAGCTGAGTGGATGCTGGTGGATGGCTGGGGATGATGGTGGGGTCTCGGTCCTGCTCCTCACATGTACCCATTGCAGGCTGACCTGACGGTGGACACAAGCGTGCGGGGGCTGCTGTCTGTGCTGCCCATCCTCTCTGAGAAACACAGTGGGACCCTGCTCAACTGGGAAGGTAAAGCTATTCCTTGGTGACCACTCTGGCCCTGCAAGGGGACTCACTGAGTGCCCTGAAGCACCAGGATGCTCAGCCTTTTGTGGTCTGCAAGGGACCTACTTGGGACTCCACTGGGTGTGCAGGGCAGCTTGTGATCTCTGCCTTCTCATTGTCGATAAATAAAGTCAATTAGTACCTGTGCCTTCTCCCAGCTGCAATGCTCCCACTGGCACCTGGATGGGCTGGAGAGGTGGCCCTGTCCAAACCTTGTGAAGTTCAACAAGGCCAAGTGCAAGGTCCTGCACATGGGTCAGGGCAATCCCAAGCACAAATACAGGCTGGGTGGAGAATGGATTGAGAGTCCTGAGGAGGACTTTAGGGTGTTGGTTCATTAAAAACTCAACATGAGCCAGCAATGTGCGCTCTCAGCCCAGAAGGCCAACCGCATCCTGGGCTGCATCAAAAGCAGCGTGACCAGCAGGGCAAGGGAGGTGATTGTCCCCCTACTCTGAGACCCCCCCCTGCTGTGCTGCATCCAGCTCTGGGGCCCCCAACATAAGAAGGACATGGAACTGCTGGAGCAAGTCCAGAGGAAGCCATGAAGGTCATCAGAGGACTGGAGCACCTCTGCTATGAGGTCAGGCTGAGAGAGCTGGGGTTGCTCAGCCTGAAGAAGAGAAGGCTCCAGAGACCTTATAGCAGCCTTCCAGTACTTACAGGGGGCCTACAGGAAAAGATGGGGAGGGACCTGCTGCAGTCCCCCCACTCCTGCCGGACAGAGCACTGGGGCAGTCCACACTGGGCTGGAGCCACGTCTCTGCCCCACCAAGATGAGCTGTGCCTCAACAAGCTCCAGCGAGCCCTAGCACCCGCAGCCTGGTGAGTCACAGACACCAGTTGAGTTTTTCTTCTTCACCAGCTCCAGTTTCTCCCAATCCAGTGACATTTTGGTAGCCAAGACTTTCGAGAGGCTGAGAAATGGGACAGCAGGGAGTGTCTGCAACCTGGGTGCCAGCCTGGGCTTGGGGACAGGGTGCCTGTGGCTGGAGGTAGCAGTGGTGAGCTCGGACCCCTGGCTCCTTGTATCCCCTTCTTGGGGGTCCCAAGCAGCTCAGGTGCCCAGCCAGCGGTAGGACAAGAGGCAAGATGCCCCTGTGAAGCTCAGGGGTGCTGGGGGCATCCCCAGATGGAGAGGAGGTCCTTTATTCTGCAGGCACCATGATGGATGGACAAGTCCTATCTGGACTAATTGCAGGAGGTGGAACATCCGGGTCCAACCTGAGTCCCACTCCTCCACTGGAGCTGGGGCTGCCCCATCCCTGCCATGGCCACCTGATTTCCCATATGAATGCTCACTTGTTTTTTGCTCTTTGCTTTCCCAGCTCATTCCTGTGGCCAGAGGAGTCAGTGCCCACCTGGGCACCTTCCTGGGTGTTTGTCAGCCTCAGGGGAGGAATCCCTTGTGAGGAATGGCAGAGGAACAGCAGCATGGGTGAAGGGCCAGATCTTGCAGCTGTGTGGCTGTGCTTAGCCCAGCGCTGGCTCAGAGATGTGGCCAAGCCTCCACTGAGAGCCCTTCCTGCCCCTTGGCAGAGGTTTTCCTGCCCCAGTTGCTCTACACAAGCTGGTGGAGGGGTCAGTCACCATGGGCTGGCTCCATGACCATCTCTCTCCATGTTTTTCCCTTCTGCCTCATGCCACGTGCTGGATCCTGGGAGAAAAGCTATGCCAGGGGTCCAACCACTGCTTTGCAGGCAGCTTATAGCCCCTCCAAGATTGTTGCCAGCCCTATGAGACATTCCCCGGCTACTCCGCTGGGAACATGGGGAGAAACAGGGCTGCTGAAAGCTGGGACAAGCTCCAGCGGTTTAGCTGATGGTCTTCAGTGCTGGTGATGCAGGATGGTTGCCCACCTGCTGTATTGGTAGGGTTTTGGCTGATTCGGGAGGCTGATAAATCTGTGAGCATCTCTACACCCTCCTGGGAACTGGGACATCACAGTGTGGGGAAGTGACCCGGGATATGGGTAACCCTGTGTGCCAAAAGTGGTGGGAGGAGGAAGGGGAAGCTCTGCATGTGAAGCCCACTCTGGCATTACTGGAAGCCCAGCTGCTGGGGATGAGAACAAACCTCGGGGGGCTGCTGGACCTTGAAGCACCATGAGCATTGTGGAAGCCCAGAGCAGCGGTCTTCCCTTCGGATGCTGGGACAGCCAGCTAACTGCTGTGCAGAGCCAAGTGGCAGCAGGTCAGTCAGTCCCATTTTTCAAGCTGACAGGGACAGGATGACCCAACTTGGACCTCTGCAACTGGTGATCACCCTTGGTGAGTGCTTTGCCATCAGAGGTGAGTCCAGCTGCTCCCTAGGAGCCCATCCTTACCCCCTCCAATGCATGGCTTATCCCAGGGAGCACGCACTGGAGCTGCTGGGGACCCTGCCAGCCATGGTAATTTCGAGGCCAGGGATGCCTGAGCACCTTAAGATGCCCCAGGACATGTTTTCCTCAGGAAGCCTCTGTGAGGGCCAGATGGGCAGGTCTCCCCACTCAAATGCTTGCCAAGTGGTGTCGGCTTTTTCTTTGCACAAGTTTCCGGGTGTTTGTGCTCATGCAGCTGATTATCTCCCCATTTCCTCTCCTGACTGATGTTTCCTGCCTTGCTCACTCCCTTTTGCTGGCTTTGCCCTTTGTGTCAGGCTTATCTCCTGGTTCTGGGCAGTGTCAAACCTCAGTGTCACCCCTGCCCACCGCAATGGCAATGTGCATCCCTAAGCACCGTGCCCTGTCTGCATTTTAGCAGCTGGTCCAGCTCTATTCTGAAGCTGGGGGACAGGTGATTACTGCTGGACCCATCAGCCCCCAGTTGAGAAATTTGGACAACCCCTGGGAGACCCTTCACATGGGCTGCACAAGGGCATGGAAACTTGGCTGGGGACCTCCAGGGGCCATGGGTGGAGAGGTTGTCACCTGGAGCAGCTCTGCCTGCCTCTACCAGCACCTGTGGAGCCATGGTAGCACCTGGAGGGGAACACATCTCTGCTCTGAGGAGCCCAGCAGCTCTCCAGGGACTGACTTCAGCGGTGGGAAAGTGCTGTATTTTCCAAGGTCTTCCACCAGGTACCTTCCTTCAGACCAACAGCCACTGGCGAATCCTTGCTGCTGGGGTCAGGCAGGTCCATAGGTCAGGACAGGAGTGGAGAGGACATGGGGAGTCCTGGCAGGATCAGGATCAGGGCAAGGTCTATTTTGAGAGGCAACCTTCCATACCCAAGTGGGGCATGCAGCAGCAGGCAGAGCCCTGTGAAAGGCAAAGCCCGCTCCGGGAGGAGAGGGTCAAAAAAAGGAACCGGGAGCGGAAAAGGGCTGCTCCTGTGACAGATGCAGCTGCGGAGGTGGAGCAGGAGGCAGGTCACAAACAGCCCGCAGAGGAGGAAGTGCCGGGACACCAAGCAGTGTGGCCAGGGTGGCTGCAGCAGCTCCAGGTGGGGAAGGATTGGGAGCAGCGGCAACCAGAACTGCAGGGACCTTGGCCAGGACCTGGAGATCCCCACAGCAGAGACTTCTTCAGCCAAAGCAGCTATTCCTTCTGTAGAGGTGCAGGCACTGTCCACGGCGCGGGAGGACGGGGCAGCGGGATAGTGATGGTGGGGACATCTCTGTGCTGGGTGGCACCATGGCCTGGTGGCTCAGAGCCCCGGGTGACCATTCCCAGAGCCACCAGTGGTGGGGTGGGCTGATGCTGGGAAGGCTGGGTTGTCTGAGGACCTGCGGCTCTCTAGGGGGGTGCAATGTCCAGGGTGCTGGGAACCAGGGCTGCCACCAAAGTACTGGAACCAGCCTGGGCACATAAGAAACATGGCTTGGGAGGAAACACCTCCTGGTCCCTGCAGCACAAGGGCTGCCCAGGAAGCCAAGTGTGACCAGCAGATAATGTGCCAAGGCTTCCTCCACAGCTGCAGAGCTGGGCTTGCTCCATTGCTATCTGGCCCTGCAGAGCCCCGAGCATCCCTTCCATCCCCATCTCACTGTGTTATTGTTAGCAGGGAGGAAGCAGCTCACCAAGTCCCACCTCAAGCTTTTAACCCGCTGCTGCCCAACCTGCAGCTCTCTGCTCCCCTCGGCCAGAGTCAGGAAGGCTCCACGGCTGCCCTGGGAGGGTGGTTTGGTACTGGGAGCTTGCTACAGGCTTTACCTCTCTGGCACCCCACAGGTCTCCTCTTGAGCCATGTTGTCTCCCACAGCCCCTCTTGAAAAGGGTGGACTCTGGCATTGTCATCTCCTGGTGTGGAGAGAAGGTCTTAAAGGCTTTGGGTGCCAATGATTTCCCCCCTTGCTCTCTCTTCTCCCTTCTAGCTGATCAGATCCTTCCTCTGGAATCCCCCCTGGTCTGCTGGGAAGGCACCATGGAGGTGACAGCTTTACCAGCTTTGCACAGATTTAATCCAAATACCTAATAAATGGTTTAGAGGAAATCCATCTTGGGGAAGGAAATTGCAGCACTTCACCAACTTTGTTTGATGAGCTGGGGTTTAATTGAACCCCAGGGTTTCCAGAGGTGCTACCTACTGCTCCTTGGGTGAGTGAAAATCAGACAGGCATCAGCAGTCTTTTCCAGATCATCTTGTGCAACTGAACTTGGCCAAATTGTCTCCCCCTTCTTGTCTGGCAGGGAAGGGACCTCAGCGTCCTGTCAGCACAGGCTGGGGCTGTGTCCTCCCTGGGGATGACCACCGAGGGACACCTTTCCTGAGCATCAGTGTCCATGCAGGAGCAGAGGTAGGTCACCCAGCCGCTGGGGTGATGCGGAGATGCTCCACGTTCTCCTTCGCACGGCTGGGCTTCTGTCCACGCCTTTGCCCCTCAAAAAGGATGACACTGCCGAAGTTCTCAGCCATAGGACCCAGCCCCGCTTTGAAGGGTCCCGCCAGGGGTTTGGTGCAGGTCAGCCTCTCCCTGCCCATCCTCCAGCACTGGCTGCTCCTGAATTTCCAGCTGGTGCAGAACAAGTTCCCAGGAGGCTGCACCCAGAGCTGGCACCAC